TTACTTCGCCTTCCCTTTCTCCTCACATCCCACCCCCATCGTCACCTTCCCTCCCTCGGCTCTCCTCCTCCTCCTCCATCTTCACCACCCTCCATCGCCCTCACCCATCTTCACCACCCTCCATCGCCCTCACCCTCCTCCTCCACCACCCTCCATCGCCCTCCCTCCCCCTCGCACAACCCCAGCAAGGCCAACCGTTCCCGGTACCTCCCGTACTGCCGGCGGCGTCGGGCCCGGGCTTCCCTCTTCACGGTTTGCATGTAGCTGACATGCACGTCCAACAACGTCTCAGTGGCCACATGCTGTAAACTGTTGACGGCAAGCAATGCTCCCGTCGATGCTCGGCTGTGAAAACCGCCTGAGACGCCCCTGGGGGAGCTCTCAACATCCGCTTCTTCTCGCGAGGAGTTTGGCTCCAGGTTCCGCGCCCTCTTTCTTCGACCCTCTTGGCCCCTCCAACAGGCACCCTCGCTTTCCTGCTCCCTCGTGGACGATCTGGCCGTGATGGGGGATGAAGGGGCAGGGAACCCACCGGGGCGAGCGGAAAGTGGATAAAGGCGGGAGTTGTCCGTCAAGAGGGTCATGGCTGTCGCCGGCAAAGGAGGAGGGAGGTTCACCCTCTTCTTTTTCCCTCTGGCTCCACCTCCGTCAATTCCCTGGGCGGTCGAGTGACATGGCGACCCTATTTGAGAGGCGACCGCTCCTCTTTGAGGGCACAGCCTTTCCTCCCGCTCTTCCTTCGTCACTCGCGCGTACCAAGGTACTTGCCGCGTCGGGTCGTCTTGCACCCATGCCCTAAGCATGGAGTAGAGTGATGCATCTGCAGACAGTGCATCGAAATTCACGCGTCTGCCCAGGATTTCATGGATAGCCGGCGGTGTCCCCGTGGCTGAGACCGAGGAGATGCTCGAAACGGGATGGTCAAAGATGGACCATGATTCTTCCTCGCCTCCCGCCTCCGCCACGGAAGCTGCATCATCTAAGCGGATGAACGACTGCCCGTCGTTGGAAGAGTGGAAAGGGATACGCAAGCGGTTTGGAGCAGGGTGGGGCTCTGATGCGAGCGGTGATGAACTTGCCCTGACGGGAGGAGATGGGGGAGGCGCAGGACCAGGCCTATTCCGCGAAAGCATGGAATCCGTCACGTTGGTTCTACCGTACTATATTTTTGGTCGATTTCTGTTAGCATGTAGAGTGAAGAGGGTTAGGGTCTCCGTAATACTTCTTAGAATAGGCAGTAGGATTTGGGGAGAATTTTGTTTTAGGTGGGGAGGTTAAATTTTCCGGACCATGCCAACCATAACTCTCGTCCTTCGCGATTTGCTGGGGAAATAACATTATCCTAAAGTGGAAAAAAATTATTAAGAACGCAATTTTTTCCTATTTCCAAAACACTGCCCTGCCGTACTTAACAGCATCCACCCGCACGACCAAGAAGCTACGGATTTCGCCTGTCGTTCTAATTGAAGGAGAAAATTACACACAGCATCGCACAAACTACACCGCGTGAGCCAACTATTGCTCGTCATTCCGTTCAATGTCAGTGTTCTTTTTTACTTGATGCCTTCACCAAAATATACAAGCTGAGCGCCCTATACGTCCAAATCGTTTTGTTCCTGCTTAACCAGTGTCATTATATACACAACAAAGGATTCAAAAATGTGCTGTGCTGTCCTGTATCCAAAATCCTGATCATACATGATGTTCATGAGAGACTTGTTGACATGCGCATGACATTTTAATTCTTAATATGCTTGTGCGGAAGTCTCTCAAGGGCACCAAGCAGGCACCAAGCAGTCGCCCAAAGCAAGCCCATCCTCATACTGCCACGCAATGTCCTTTCCCTACACTGACGCGGTTAACTCTCCCCTGCCACATTCACCAAAAATCGTCACTTTGCTCTCTTCGAAACTCGGCCAAGCGCTGCTTTCACCCAAAACTTCCACTTCCGCAACCTGGACGTCCTTCTCCTCCCTCCGCCCCTTCGCGCCATGATCGCTTCCTTGGCGCCCTCCTCGACCTCTTCTGACCGCCCGGCCGTCTCGTCCCTAGCCCGACGGAGCCTCTTGAAGAAAGAGGGAATCCCTCCCTCCTCCTTCCCTCCTCCTCGTCCATCCGCCCCGAACAGGGCCGCCTCCTGGTCCGTCATTGCGCCCCCGATGTAGGCCAGCATCGCGTCTCCACACCCCTTGCCGCCCGCCTTCCCCTCGATTACCCGCCCTCCCTCCTCCCCGTCCTCCCCCTCCTCCAACAACACACGCACCACCTCCCCCACCACCACCACGGCGGGTGCCGTCACCCTTACCCTCTCCGCCACCGCCGCGATCTTGTCGAGAGTGGCGACCACGGTCCGCTGCCGTGGGGTCGAGGCCTGTTCGACGATCGCCACAGGCGTCTCCTCCGGGTACCCTGCCACGCTGGTCAGTTGACGCGTCAGCTCCCGCAACCTCCCCACCGCCATCAAAAAGACCGCGGTCTGGTTCACGTAGAAAGGGGCGAGGTAGGGCCGGTCGCCTCCTTTTCCGAAGCCCGTACACACGTACACTTGGTTCGATACTCCCCGGTGGGTGACTGGGATGGCCGCCAGTAACGGCGCCGCAAACGCCGAGGAAACTCCGGGTATGATTTCCGGGTCCACGCCCAATTTTTCTCGAAACTCCAAGACTTCCTCCCCGCCCCGGCCGAAGAGAAAGGGGTCTCCTATTTTCAACCGAACCACGTGTTGCCTCGCCGCCATCCCGTCCCGCACCCACTGGTAAATCTCCTTCTGGGCCGCATCCGCACAGCCCGGCCTTTTCCCCGCAATTTTCAAATTGCCCGTTACCAACTTCAACATCTCGGGGGGAATGAGTCGGTCCGCGACCACCAAATCCGCTGTGGCCATCGCCCGGATGGCGGCTAGGGTGAGCAAATCCGGGTCCCCAGGACCGGCGCCCACAAGGGTGATACGGCCTTGGGGAGGGGAGGGACCGGGGGAAGGTGTGAGGGAGGAAGGGCCAAAGCGACTGTCGTCATTCAGGAAGGCGGACACGGCCGTGGAGGTTGCGGGGCGGGGGGTCGGGATGGTGAGAGGGTGGGGTGTGGAGGAAAGGATGCAGGGGAAAGGGGAGGGCGTGGCAGGAACAAAGGCGACCCCGGGGCTGAGATGCGTCAAGGCGAAGAGGAGGGGGAAGAGAGGGACCAGAGATGTGGTCATCACATTGCAGGGCATTTGTCTGTGGGGGGAAACCGTGTGTATGTAACTGTAATGTTTAGTGAAAGAGCGTGCCCAGATGCACGGGGATATATACAGACTGGCCGGAGTTGGGGGGGCACTGGCCTGCACGTGTGAAACGCGCGGGACGCCACACGAGTGACAGGCCATCCGTCTGCTCTTCACACATACACACATACATAACATGAAAGGACCTGAGGGTAGCCAAGCACCGTCGCTCTTGCGCGAAGCCGTCAGGCTTGTGCGAAGTGCTTGAACACTACGACGGGGAAAGCAAGCGTCCATTTTTTTCAGAAATTACTTACCTCCTTCTCCATACGCCACAGAGGTGGTCATTCCGTCTCATGTTTAGGTCGATGACTAGGAGGGGAAGGGGGGCTGTGTTGTGTAAAGGGGAAGGGTTGCCACTTAGCTGCTGGGACGTTGAGACCAACATTGTCAACATAAACGCAAATATCAGAGCATGACATGTAGCGCATGGCTGCCCATGTAGCCACAAATGCGGTCGACTCAGCCATCGTGGAATCAACTCAAACACGTCGTCAACTCCCGAGGAGGCGAACCCTGGTGTTCCAAGCGCCGGCGTCTCCCCCGTCCCGTAAAAAGGCCTCGAGGCCAGACCAAGCATCAACACTTGACGAGCTGGGCATTGTATCGTTTGAAGAGGCTTTCGAGCACAATGAGACGCTGTGCTGCCCCGTGGTTGTCGGCAGTGGACGGGAGTATTGCCGCTAGAAAGTCCAGTGGCTCGCGAGCCCTTTGACTTGGCTTTCATGAGGTCGGTCTCGCGACCTGCGTGCAGGAGCTCCCAAAAAAAACCAAAAAAGCGGGAAAAAGGCAGCGTGGAGGAAAACGTCGCGTAGTCTGAATGAGACCAGGGAAAGGGATTGCTGCGTGCCCATGGCAGGAATGAAATGGCAGTGGGGCCATCCGGTCATGAACCAGGGCAAAAGTTGTGCGATTAAGGGCACGAGGCTCAACATTTCTCCCAACCATCCCCGACGGCGCTGCCCGGCGTCGATGAATAATGTGTTATTACTCTTGCGTCTCGACGTTGCAAACGTCCCGATATATATCCATGTGAGGATCACGACCGCAGTGACCGTATTTGTGCTATGGTTTTTCTACCGTGGATTTTTGTGGAGGGATCGCAGGGTTTTGGAAGTGTTGAAGAACGCCTCGTGAGGGTCAGGAAGAAGAAATGCCTCCACGACGACGGCGGAAACAGAACAATTCACAAGGGCTTGCGACATTTTGGTCGTTGTTTATTATGATTGTATAGCTAAATGACAGGATTTTGGGGCATAACAATGTGATGTATGCAAGGTAGACCTGATAGTGAACTCTGAACTCTTAGTGCTGGTTCGTTGCCGTCACTTTTTGCTTCAGCCCCTCTCACTCTCCTCCTTTCCTTCCCGCACCTCGCGATAGAAGGATCAAGCTCTGGATCGGGTGCTTGTGGCGCTCGGTTTGTGCTTGGACGCTGTAGGAGCCCGGTGCGACCAACCCCCCTGTCTGCCTCTCCCCGAGGCTCCCTCGTACTGGGTCGATTGCTTCCCTGGAATGCCGTGTAGTCCCCACGGGACTAGGAAGACCAGACAAGGCGGAGAGAGACAGCGAACATCGACAAGTCGACAGGGGCTACACCGTTGGCGCATTGCACCTGGCACGGCGCGGGCCTTATCACCTGTGGTCACGAATCGATCCGCCCGTTGAGAGGTCCGTCCATGATGAATGCTATCGCCTTCAATGGCACCGACTCACCTCCTCCACGCTTGTCCCCTGTACGATGTAGGAACGGGCGTGAGACATGCTCCGAATATGGTTCAAATACCTGACCGCACGGCTCCTGTTGGTCTCTGTGGCCCTTGTTGTGTCCTCCCTGGGCGCGAACCTGATGGCCTTGGCGCTCTTCTTGGTCATCCGCCCCTTCTCCCGCTCCCTTTACCGGCGTCTCGTGTCTCAATACGTGGCCTGCATGTGGATCGACGCCCTCTCCCTCCTTCTCCCCGGCACCCAAATCCATATCACCGGCGACTCTGGTGCGTCCCTGTTCCCCCCCTCCTTCCCCCCCTCGGTCTGTCTCGGCCTTCGCGCCATTTCCCCCTCTCGCTTTCATGGGGCCCAAGGTGGCGGGACGGTGGAGGGCTTGTTATTAATGAGACGGTGGAAGGCTTTTCATTATTCGGACGGTGGAAGGCTTGTTATTAATGGATCGATGTTGACGTGGGGCACATGCCTTCCTCTCCACGCCCCGACAAAGACCTCTCCCTCCCTCTCTCCCTCCCTCCCTCCCTTCCTTCCTTCCTCCCTTCGTCCCCCTCAGACATGCCCGACGGGATCACCGCGGGCATCGTGGTGGCGAACCACCAGTACGAAGGCGACTGGTGGTTCATGCTGATGGTCGCCCGCTTCCTGGGCCTCCACGGGAATGTCAAGATCATTGTCCGCGAGGGGCTTCGGCGCATCCCCCTGCTCGGGTGGTTGATCCGCTTGGTGGAGTACCCAACCATCTCCTCCTCCTGGTCGCACTCCCGCTCCACCTTGTTCGGCCTGCTCCGGTCTTTCAACACGGGTGAGGCGGGAGGGAGG